CACACTGGAGAGGGTCCAGCGGAGCACAACCAAAATGATTAGGGGGCTGGAGCACAGGACCTATAAGGAGAGGCTGAGGCATTTGAGCTTATTTAGTCTACAGAAGAGAAGAGTGAAGGGGGATTTGATAACAGCCTTCAACTTCCTGAAGGGAGGTTCCAAAGAGGATGGAGAGAGGCTGTTCTCAGTAATGACGGATGGTAAAACAAGGAGCAATGGTCTTAGTTACAGTGGGGGAGGTCTAGGTTGGATATTAGGAAAAACTATTTCCCTAAGAGGGGGGTGAAGCACTGGAATGGGTTACCTAGGGAGGTGGTGGAATCTCCATCCCTAGAGGTTTTTAAGTCTCGGCTTGACAAAGCCCTTGCTGGGATGGTTATTTGGGATTGGTCCTGCTTTGGGCGAGGGTTGGACTCGATGACCTCCTGAAGTTTCTTCTAGCCCTATGATTCTAAGAAGATAGTTTTTTCTGAATCGTAGCTGGTTTGCATTTGAACAGGGTTCTTATTTTGGGCTCAGAACTTGGTTTAATTACCCGTTTCCTTGTGCTATGGAATGTGTGATTGGAAAATAGGATTCAAATTCAGGCTTATTCATGTTAATGTTTGAATCCTGAAGCATAATGCTAATGCATTATATCCTTGCTGATGATAGGTTTCCCTATTTCACATTACTGAAAAGATCAAATTGGTGAGTAAATGAACAAATGCAACTTTAAAAAACCTAAGGAGAATCAGAATATACCTAATTTTGTCAATTGAAATGCAGATAAATACATGAAATTTCATAATGAGCTAATTATGTTGTCGTTTGAAAAAAAATGAACCCATTATAAAAGGTGTGCAGTGTAGCATAGTGCATATTAGAGAGTTTCGTTGGCTCATGCTCCGTAATTGTGCAAACTAACTAGCAGAAATGTTTAAATGATCTTAGCTTTGCTACTTTATATGATTTAATTAAATTTTTCATGAAGAGGTATTAAAATTGTTCTTGATGAAATTATCAGTATGATTTTTATTAGATGGTTTAAATTATAAGAGTTTTTTTGTGTAATTTATTACACCTTTTGATATTTAATGTTCCTGGGATAATAAATGCATTTGACATTCATGAGATGTATTATTCCAGAGAGGCTGTTTTAGTTTAGTGTAATTTAGTACCCACTTATAAAGTGTCACCGGTTCTTAATACTGATCTCTCTTTGAATTACTAGCTGTCATGAAGAACAGTAATAGAAAAAGCTATTTGCTGCTAAAGATTAGATGATATGCTGGTAAAAAAAAAATCTTCACTATCTCTACGCTGGAACATACACTGTTGGTAACACTGCTGCAAGTGCTGTATTGCTGAATACAGTAATTGGTTTTGCAGAGGACTGGCTAACACCTTGCTGAAAACATTGACAAAGAAGATTTTGCAGTTTCTTTTCAAGTTTATTAATTAGGAGGAGGAATGGGATATATGACTTTGTTTGTAGCCATATGCAATGTCCCTATTTCAGTGTCTGAAAAAATAAAGCCATTTTTGTGAGTCATAGGGTCAGAGTTGATGGGGTAGGTTGAGAGAATGGAGGATTTCACCTAAAGTGTGGAGAGCAGTGCACTGGTGATTGTGTACTATAATAAATGCCCCTAAAGCCTCAGACTTGCAGGCACTGACGAGAAAGAGTAAGTTACAATGAATATCTGTGACATGAGAGAGACAGTTTTCCCATTCCAGAAACATTCTTAGACCAACCTGTGGCCTTACCTCCCGTGCAAGCCAACTAAGGATGTTAAGTAGTGATTATTGGCTAATCATGTAGTTGCTGGAATTTCCATAGACTACTCAATTAGTCGATAAGGAAGGGCAGTTACAGCACTCAGTCTCTGGTCCTGCCGGGTCTCAACACACACACATGCACACACACCCCTCTGCTGCAGCTCTGCACTGTTAAAGGGACAGAGGAGACAGTGCAAGGGGAGGCTGGCTCAATGCCTGGTCCCACAAGTCTCAGAACAACCCTCTGCTGCCACTCTGCATTATTAAAAGGACAAGGGAGCGGACATGCAAAGATGCTGGCTCGCCTGTCCCTTTAAAAGTGCAGAGTGAGTGTGTGTGTGTGTGTGTGTGTGTGTGTGTGTGTGTGTGTGTGTGCGCGCGCGTTCTAATAGCTGTGGGACCAAGGACTGAGCTAGCATCTTGCATGCCGGCTCCCCTGTCCCTTTAATGGTGCAGAGCTGTAGTGGGGTGATGATGGGGGAATGAGCAAGTAGTTGATAGTAGGGATGTGAAGGACTAGTCGCTTCTCCCCCCTCTTGCTGCCTCTTTCAGATAGAGGCATGAAGTGGAGGGGGGAAGAAGAGGGAGTACTTCAAAGTGGCAGTGCCACTTGAAGCCTGGGGACAGACGCCGGTCTTCACCCCGGGCTGTACACTGCATTTCAAAGTGACAGCGCCATGTGGAGCCCAGGATCAGCTGTGGACTTCCTAGCTGACCTGGGCTCCATGCAGCATTGCTGCTTTGAAACAATGCAGGGAGTCCGGTGTCAGGCTCCTCGTGGTGTTTCAAAGTCCCCAGCTGACCGCAAGCTCCACATGGTGCTTTCACCTTGAAGTGTAGTAACAGCCCTAGGGCTGTTGCTTCACTTCAAAGGTGGAAGTGCTCTATCAACTAATTGAATAGTCGATGCAAAAATGCATCGACTATTTGATTAGTCAATTACCCCCGATACTTAACATCCTTAGTTGATAGTGCTAACTGATAAGTTCCTGCTTAACTGTTAGTCGACTACTCGCTTACATCCCTAAAGCCAACGTGTCCTTTTAGTTGAAGGTATTTCTGCAAGGTTGCAAGGAAGATAGAATTATGGAGTGGGGATTTATTACCAGCCTGAAAAAGTTAATGAACTTTCAAGGTTTTGGGATTAAAATGTCATTAATAATATCACTACTTCTTTGAGTGATTGCTCATGTGCATTCCAGTTCCTTCCCTGCCCTTTGTGAACCATCTATCCCACTTGCACTGTGCATAGCCCAAATTATCTCCAACTACTGGGTCTTGAGCATGGTGGTAATGGAATATTCAATTCTGTACCTCCCTTGCTCCGCTATCCCTTCCTTCCCCCCTTTTGGGAGCTCTTTTCAGGAACAGCTCCTTTTCCTGGAGGTGCAATTCTTCCTCATTCTGGGGGTGATAGAGGAGGTTCCCCTGGGGTTTTTTACTCCCAATACTATTTATTCCCACAGCTATGGAGGGGAACGAGTCTGCTCCTCATCCTAGATCTCAGGCACTTGAATGCATTCATAAGGAAGCTCAGGTTTCTGCATGGACCTCCATTGTACCCTCCCTAAACCCGAGGGACTGGTAAGCTGTCCTTGACCTCAAGGATGTGTACTTACACATTTTCATCATTCCAGCCTGCAGACGTTTCCTCCACTCTGTAGTGGCAGAACACGATTATCAGTTTTCAGTGCTTCCCTTCAGCCCGGCCATGGTGCCTTGAGTCTTTACGAAATACGTAACAATGGTGCCTGCATTCCTTTATTCACTTTTTCCACACCAGTCATGATTTTATAGACCTCTATCATATCCCCCCTTTAGTCTCCCCTTTTCTAAGCTGAAATGTCCAAGTCTTTTTAATTTCTTTTCATATGGGACCTGTTCCAAACTCCTCATCGTTTTTGTTGCCCTTTTCTGAACCTTTTCCAGGGGGCTCCGTAGCTAACCTGATGGGTACTGTTGTGGAAAAAAATCTTCGGACAGCCATTCATGCTGCGCATGCACACACACATTGGAATGGACATGAGCAATGCATCTTGAAGAACAGTTATGAAAGGTTTTTTTCTTTAAAAAGCCCTTACACATCACCTTGCATTTCTAATTTTGTTTCAATTAAGAGGCTACAGAGAGAGTCTGAGACTTTAATTTCTCCTTCCTCCAGATTTGGATTTTAATACATCGTATCTTTTTTATGCCACTTTTCTTTTAAGTCATCTAGCATCTTAATTTTCTCCTAATCTTATTTTATTCTCTTTTGTAGTTCGTGCTCATGCAATGTAGTATATGCAGCTGCTTCTCAGTCAGAATTCTGGCTTTACCTGCGTGTAGTACACCTATTCTTTTTTAAAAAAAAAATAGAACCAGAAATGTCAAGACAATGTGTGGGTTTGAAAAGTGTTTATTGATATGAATAGTGCGAGTCTCATTTTTTTGTAATTTAAATATTCTAATTATGGATGGCCTGAGCTCAGACAGATTCAGTATTCAATGTTTTCATAGCATGTTATGAGTCCCATAAAGTGAATTTTGTCCCTCTTGAACACAGGTGTTGAGCAAAATTAGTAATGTAAAAATCATTAAGGAAAAAGTCTGAAGGGCATTAAGACATTTAAAAGGCACAATGTGTGATGGACTTAAAACATGTGGTCCTCTGTGTGTTGTAGGAAAAAAAATTATTTCCAAAGCCATCTGAGGACCTTTTTAACAAAACAAAGATTTGTGGTTGTTTAAAGGAGCTGTTCCTCTAATGCAAGTCTATTTGGAAGATATGAATCATCGGTTTATGTGAGCCTGCATGCTCACAGATGAAAGGGAGAGGGAGTAAAAGGTGTAGAGTTTGGACACCCCTCTTATCTAAGATAAGAAGTGAAGCTAATCAGTTAGAGATTGTTCAAATCCTTTTCATCACAGCCATGGGGAATTTTCGCCTAGATACATTATCTATCTCTCTGTTCCTATACTTTTTTGATTTCAAGCCAAAATGTCAGTTCTAGAGCTGGTATCTTTTTGGCTAGGAGAAATACCAGTCAGAGGAGTTAGACTGACATAGATTGATGTGTCTTTTTAAAACTATTAGGAAATGAAAAGTTCATTCCCAGCTTCAGAGAGCTTTTTAATGAATGTCTAAAACAAGATGTGAAAAATTGAAAAAGTCCCTCAGACTAATTGTCTCTGGAGTTTGCATTCTTGGAGAAGCTAAGCTGGAGTTAAGTAATTTAATGGTCTCTCTTGGTTCCTAGGTAACTTATGGCTCCTTTGACTATACATCACTGCTTTATCTGTCTGACTACACTGAGGATTTTGGTGGTGGACGATTTGTGTTCATGGATGTAGGTGCTAACAAGACTGTAGAACCCCGAGCAGGTAGGTTTCTCAGTTTACCTTCATGACCTAGCTCTCTATTGACCAGTTCCTGTCCTGTCCGATACTCCCACTTGGAATTCCATAGTATTACTGAGGATAAAATTTAGCCTAATGTATGTCAAGTACATAGGAAAGTGGTTTGGATAGGCCACAGCAATTAACGGGATGATAGTAGTAAAATTCATCTTGTTTGTGGCTACAGTTTAGCTACATAGAAAGAAATGGTGAAATAAACTGGAAATTATCAAGATTTGAGTTAATCCGAGACTACCTGGGCACATGAAATAACTTCCTGAAAAGGCACAGCCTCCCTTAATAGGATTCATGAGTTTGTCTTTCTAAAGCCTCCTGCTTTATGGCGAAGTAGTGCTTTCCCCTGTGCTTGATTTCCTGTTTTCTGCTCCCTGACACAGCTAGAATTAGAACTGCTCGAGTTTTAACTGTTTCTGGGAAGAGTCTGTTTCAGCATGATCCCCAGCCTGCTAAGCAGGGGCCTGCATAGGCCCTCAGGGTATTTGTTCCCCTGTTTTAGCTACATGGATGAAGAGTCTTGCCATGTTGTATCTTGAGGGTGGATTGAAGTTCAGCTAAACGTCAGTGGGTGCAAAATGCTGCCACATGTATTCTGAGATGTATTTGCTCCAGGGAACCTGAGACGCTTCATTCACTGCCAGTTCATTTCTGCGGGTAGTTCATAGGGTTGCCAAGTGTCCGGTTTTGAACTGGAAAGACCGGTATTTGAGGGTTCTGTCCAGGAAAAAAATTAAGAAAATACCAGACATATAAAGTGTCTGGTATTTTCTAATTAGATAAGTTTATTATTATTAGGAATATCAGTACCTAGTTGCGAACTGCCTGGGTGGTAGACACGCTCACGCTGTGTGTGTGTGTGTGTCTACCAGCCAGGCAGTACGCAACAACGCGTGGGACGGGTAATGCCCTGGGATCTGTGTGCACCCTGATCAGTCTTGCTCCTTGTCGGCCAATTCTCTCCCCCCACTCCTCCCCCTGGCCAGCCCCACTACCCCTGACTCCCTCCCAGCCAGCCCCGCTTCCCCCGACCAGCCCTGCTTCCTGCCGGCCGGTTCTCCCCCGCTCCTCCTTCTGATCTTTCCTGGCCAGCTCCGCTCCGCTCCCCCTGATCCCCTCCCGTCCAGAGCTGCTTCCTGCTGGCCAGTCCCCCGTCATCTCCCAGCCGGTCCTGCTGTCCCTCCCTCCCCCCTCCCAAGCCAGCACTGCTTCCTGCCAGCTGGTTTACACCCTCTTCCTCCCACATCCTCCCGGCCAGCCCCGCTCCCCGTCTGAGATCAAGTGTGTCCAGTATTTTTTTTGAAGCCACCTGGTAACCTTAGTAATTCATAAGTGTCAGTTTTAACATATAAAGCTTTAAATATGTTGGATTCTGGAAAGTAAATCTCTTTACTCAGTACTGGAGCTGTTGAGCTCTAGCTAACATTCCTTTGATTGAACTGCAAGAGGTCCTGGTGGCATTCTTGGAAATGCTTCCAGTTCCACGCACAGGGTCAGGTAGGCAGGCAGAGCTTCAGAGTCTCAATGTGTGGATGAGACGATGGTGTAGGGACTAGGGGTTTCGCTTTATTAGGAACTGGGGACACTTTTGGGAGAGGGGGAGCCTATACAGGAAGGATGGGCTCCACCTAAACCAGGGTGGAACCAGACTGCTGGCACTAAACATTAAAAAGGTCGTAGAGCAGTTTTTAAACTAAGAAATGGGGGAAAGCCGATTGGTGCGGAGATGTGCTGGCCACTAAACATTAAAAAGGCCCTAGAGCAGTTTTTAAACTAAGAGATGGGGAAAAGCCGATTGGTGCGGAGATGCACGTAAATCGGAGGGAGACTTCTCTTAGAGGAGAATCTATTGATAGAGATTCTCTAAGCTGTAGTCAGAAAGAGAGGAGGGGAGAGGGCAAACCATGGGCCAGAGCAGACAAACAACTGCATACAAAGGAATCCAATGCATCAGGGAAGGGCAGACAAATAAGCA